AGTGCTGCCAGCATTGCGGCAGAGGTTGAAGGGGTGGGGGGTCAGCCTGTCAGTGCTCAGACCATACGCCGCACACTGCTTCAAATTGGTCTGCATGGCTGTCCTCTCAGAAGGAAGTCTCTTCCAAAGGTGATGCACAAGAAAGCCCACAAACAGTTTGCTGAAGACAAGCAAACTAAGGACATGGATTACTGGAACCATACGCTGTGGTCTGATGACACCAAGATAAACTTATTGGGTTCAGATGGTGTCAAGCGTGTGTGGCGGCAACCAGGGGAGGAGTACAAAGACAAGTGTGTCTTGCCTACAGTCAAGCATGGTGGTGGGAGTGTCATGGTCTGGGGCTGCATGAGTGCTGCCGGCACTGGGGAGCTACAGTTCATTGAGGGAACCATTAATGCCAGCATGTACTGTGACATACTGAAGCAGAGCATGATCCCTTCCCTTCAGAGACTGGGCTTCAGGGCAGTATTCCAACATGATAACCCCAAACACACCTCCAAGGTGACCACTGCCTTGCTAAAGAAGCTGAGGGTAAAGGTGATGGACTGGCCAAGCATGTCTCCAGACCTAAACCCTATTGAGCATCTGTGGGGCATCCTCAAACAGAAGGTGGAGGAGCGCAAGGTCTCTAACATCCACCAGCTCCGTGATGTTGTCACGAAGGAGTGGAAGAGGACTCCAGTGGCAACCTGTGAAGCTCTGGTGAACTCCATACACAAGAGGGTTACGGCAGTGCTGGAAAATAATGCTGGCCACACAAAATATTGACACTTTGGGCCCAATTTGGACATTTTCACTTAGGGGTGTACTCACCTACTCAATGGCATACAAAGCCATTTGACTATCAGCTGTGGTCATTCTGATTAAGTCAGAATGAAAAGAGCTTTCCTGGAGCATTTCAGTCCCTGGTAGTGCTACTGAAGTAATCAATCAACTATGGGTGGCAGGCACTGTCAAAAGATCTCCAGGATAACATTGTGGACAGGCACAAGTAAGGAGATAGATACAAAAAAAAATAATTCAAAGGCTTTATCAATGCACAGTGAAGTCTATTATTAAGAAGTGTAAAGTATTTGGTACAAAACAGACCCTCCCTGGATTGGGATGTCGCTCCAAACTGAATAAAAGAGCCAACAGGTCAGAGGGGCTACAAAGAGGCCTACAGAAACTCTGAAGCAGTTGCAGGAATTTATGACAGATTGATCACTGTGTGCATGTGACAACAATATCACATTCTCCACAAATGTGGCTTGTATGGGAGGGGGTTGCAAGAAAAAAGCCACTCCTCAAGAAAGGCCACATGCAGTCATGACTGAGCTTTGCCAAAATGCACCTTGAAGATTCTGAGGTCACATTAAAAAGGTGTTCTGGTCAGATGAGACTAAAATTTAATTATTTGGCCTCAACACTAAACTATATGTTTGGCGGAAATCCAATCCAGCTCACCATCCATATAACACCATTCCTACGATAAAGCATGGCGTGGTGGTAAAATCCTGTTATGGGGGTGTTTCTCTGTAGCAGGGACTGGAGCACTTGTCAGGATAGAAGGAAAAATGGATGGGGCAAAATACTGTCAAATTCTTGAGGAAAAACTGCTGCCCTCTGCTAGAAAGTTGTCAATGGGAAGTAGGTTTACTTTCCAACAAGACAATGACCCAAAGCATACAGCAAAAAATGTCCAGACAGTGGTTGGTGGAGAAAAAAAGGTGAATGTCCTCGTCAGAGCTGAGATTTAAACCCCATTGAAAATCTGTGGAATGACTTGAAGACTGCAGTCCACAAATGGTCACCATCAAATTTAACTGAACTTGAGCAGTTCTGCAAAGAAGAGTGAACAAATATTGCAAAGTTAGTGCAGTAGCTCATATCCGAAAAGACTAAAGGCTGTTATTAAAGCAAAAAGGTGGTTCAACAAAATACTGACACAAGGGGGTGATCCTTTTTTCAACTCAGTGATTCGGTTTTTTAATTTTTTCCCCGACATGTTGGTGTTATATCTATCTTTCACTTGATGTTATAAGTTTAAGTAAATACAGCTGGATAAAACAAAAACGGTCTTCATTTCAGGTTGCAAAACAACAAAATGTGATTATTTTAAAGGGGGCTGATTCTTTTCTATACACACTGTATATCCCATAGTTTGTGGTCTCCTAAATTTCCTACAGACTAAATAATATACACTGATTTGTGTTATTTTCACCAAAGAATTGTAGCAGAATACATTTTAGCCTAAATTTATGATGAAAGATTATTTGCAAATAAAAAAACATTTTTCAAAATGTTGTCTTTGTTTTCCTTTATTTAGCAAACAAATAAAAACCAGTGGTGATTAAAGTGGTTGTAAAGGCTCAAGGTTGTTTACCTTCAGGCATTCTATGCATGAAGGTAAAAAAACCACCTCTGTGCAGCATCCCCCAGAGCCCCTCCTAACACCCACCTAAGCCCTCTCTCGATCCAGCGATGTGCACTGGAGTCTCAGCTATCCCGAGACTCCCTCTCCTCATTGGCTGAGACAGCAGCGGGAGCCATTGACTCCTGTTGCTGTCAATCACAGCCAGTAAGCCAATGAGAAGAGAGGGGGGGGTGGGGCTGAGCCACTGCTCTGTGAGTTAATGGACACACAGATCAGCGGCTGGGGAGGGCACATCCACTACACAGAGCAGATACAGTTGTGTCCAAAATTATTCAACCCCCAATGCTGTAAAGGGGTTTAGGGACTATAGTGTACATTTGGAATTGTATTCAGAATCAAATCCTACAAGGACGTTGTAACTACCCAAATGCAACTAAAATGACATCAATTGTTTATGTAATACAGTAGTAAATGGTTCTTATGTGGTTTCTTCATTGCCACAATTATTCAACCCCTTAAAGACTACCACTCTGAAGAACAGAGGTTCATACAGGTGCTTTCCATCAGGTATTGAAAACACCTGTGGATGTCACCGAGCAGCAATCAAGCATAATAAGCACCAATTAGGCAGCTTTAAAATGACTGTGATACTCAGCTCCTTCTAGACATTTACTGGTGTGGTTACAAACATGGTGAAGGCAAGAGAATGGTCCAGGAAGACAAGAGAAGAGGTGATTTCTCTTCACAGGAAGGGCAATGGCTATAAGAAGATTGCAAAGATGTTAAACATACCAAGAGACACCTTAGGAAGCATCATTCGCAAATTTCAAGGCAAAGGGCACTGTTGAAACGCTACCTGGTCGTGGCAGAAAGAAGATGCTGACTTCGACTGCTGTGCGCTACCTGAAGCGTAGAGTGGAGAGAAGTCCCCGTGTGACTGCTGAGGAACTGAGAAAAGATTTGTCAGATGTGGGTACAGAAGTTTCAGCCCAGACAATAAGACGCACACTGCGTAATGAAGGCCTCCGTGCCAGAACTCCCAGGCGTACCCCCTTGCTGTCTCCAAAGAAAGAAGAGTCGACTGCAGTATGCCAAAAGCCATGTGGACAAACCACAAAAAGTTGTGGGATAGTGTTCTGTGGACTGATGAAACAAAATTAGAACTGTTTGGGCCCATGGATCAACGCTATGTTTGGAGGAGGAAGAACAAGGCCTATGATGAAAAGAACACCTTGCCTACTGTGAAGCATGGTGGAGGGTCAATCATGCTTTGGGGCTGTTTTGCTTCTGCAGGTACAGGGAAGCTTCAGCGTGTGCAAGGTACCATGAATTCTCTTCAGTACCAGGAGATATTGGATGGAAACGTGATGCGTCCGTCACACACCTGAGGCTTGGGAGACGTTGGACCTTTCAACAGGACAATGATCCCAAGCATACCTCCAAGTCCACTAGAGCATGGTTGCAGAGGAAAGGCTGGAACATTTTGGAGTGGCCATCGCAGTCACCAGACTTAAATCCGATTGAGAACCTCTGGTGGGACTTAAAGAAAGCAGTTGCAGTGCGCAAGCCTAAGAATGTGACTGAACTGGAGGCCTTTGCCCATGAAGAATGGGCGAAGATACCCGTAGATCGCTGCAAGACACTTGTGTCAAGCTATGCTTCACGTTTAAAAGCTGTTATAACTGTAAAAGGATGCTGTACTAAGTACTAAGATTGAATGTCACTTGGGGGTTGAATAAAACTGATAATGCTGTGAGCACAGAAAAGACATTTGTGGTTATTTCATTATAACTGTTATGTTATATTTGTCTGACCTACAAGTGCCTCTTTAATGTAAATGTAAGCAAGATGACTGAATGATCAAAAGCAATGTCAAACTGGCCAAAACACTCAATTTCAGTGGGGGTTGAATAATTTTGGACACAACTGTAAGTGTGGACATGTTGCCTTTTTTTTAAGCCTTTAGCATTACTTTAAATACCACCAAAAGAAAGCTTTGTGTGAAAAAATTATAACAGTTTAATATGAGTACAGTGTTGCATGACCCACACAACTGTCATTCAAAGTGAATGAAAGCACTGAAAGAAAGCTGAAAATTGGCCTTGGCAGGAAGGGGGTGAAAGTGTACGGTATTGAACTGGTTAAACAGCAGTCATGGGACACTTCAGCGACAAGTCTATTTACCTCCCATTTGGAGTCCTCCTTTGGGTAATCAACAACACTGCCTGCATGATATGGACACTTCTTATTGAATGGCCATTGGTGGGGTACTCTTAGGAGAAAAGGGCTGACGTTATCACAAGGGGGTGGGCAGGGGACTGGTTCCTATGCAAGGCACCACTGCAGCACTGGACTGGATGTCCCCTCACTAAAACCACTGGAAGTAGGACACTTGAATGGGGGATTTAGGCAAGTATTTCTGGCTTCACCAGATGGGTGGGGGGGGGGGGGGGGGGGAGAAAAACGGTCAGCACAGGTTAGGGAGGACGGGGAGGGAGTGATGCTAAATACTTAGATTTTTTTCTTTTCCCGCCAGAGTAAAGCTTTAAAGAAAACAGGTTTCCAAAGAACCAGAATATCAAAATTCATAAAGCAAATGTGGAATTGTAATTTTGCATTCTCATACAGGACTGTTATTCACCTTCGGATGTTTTCCACCTCTTCCACAGGTCCTCCACTGTAATATGTTTGTCTTCTCTGTGCAAATGATTGTGCTTGTGAGAAGCATCTTTGTAGTTCATGTCCTCCCGCAGGAACTGCAAAATATTACAAATCAAGCTTTTTAGTAAGAGGCAAAAAGAATTGCTAAAATAAAACAGCAATATGAAGTGTAAAATTCAGCTTTAATGGCATGCGTCAATGGGCAAATGCAGCTTGCTTTCAGGTGCACTCAACTTGTATTTGAGACAAGTCTGAGATCATTCACCATTCATTGACAGGTGCATTTGACTTGAAATTGAATTCCTAAGCTGCGTCCACCTGATTCAAGCAGTTTCTACTCTCCGAATGAGTTGTACGGAGAGAGAGAAGCAGTTCCGATGCAAAACAAAAGCCTGTCGAAATAGGTTCTAAAGGGGCTGTGTTAGGTAGAACAGGAGTGATATTAACCCCTTTTTTAAACACTTAGCAGCTGATGTAATCATTTACTGAGTAAGCATCTTCTTTATCGAGTAATCCTGATCTATGTTCCAGTTTAAGCTGGTGCTATGGCCGCTGCCCCAGGTTTCCTGTTTCAGGGTGGCTTCCTTTCTTTTGTAGCATCCTATGAAGTCACCCTTGCAATGCAAGGACTAAAGTTGTGTCTCCCTACACTGTGTGCATTAATAGAAACACACAGACCCATAGCTTAGGACAGCAAGGCACTGCATTGCCCCCTTCTACTTCCCTCCACCCTCCCTTCTTCAAACGAATTGACTGGTTGGACACTGCACTGTCCAGTTACAGCTTTCCTGTGAAGACCAATAGGGAAGCAGCACTGAAAGAGCAGGGACAGCAGCATTAAACGTTGTAAACGGCAAGTGCTAGAGTAAGAATTTTAACACCTAGTTTACTGTACTCAAAGTGCTTAAGAAAATGAAAAATATCTTATTACTTTAAATATCAAAATCATAGATGAGAGGGGAGAGAAAGGAATAAAACATGTTCATTGTTTGTCAGAGGCGGAGAGAGGGGGAGGGGGGGAGGGGGAGGAGGGGGAGAGAGAGGGGGAGGGGGGGAGGGGGAGGGGGGAGAGGGGGGGGTGAGAGAGGGGGAGAGGGGGGGAGGGGGGAGAGGGGGAGAGGGGGAGAGGGAGGGGGGAGGAGAGGGAGGGGGAGAGGGAGGGAGGGTGGGGGGGGGGAGAGGGAGGGAGGGTGGGGGGGGGGGGGGGGGGGGGGGGAGGGAGGGGGGGGGGGGGGGAGAGGGTGGGGGGGAGGAGAGGAGGGTGGGGGGGAGGGAGGAAGAGGGGAGGGGGGGAGGAAGAGGGGAGGGGGGAAGGGAGGAGGGGGGGGGGGGGGGGGGGGGGGAGGAAGAGGGGAGAGGGAGGAAGAGAGGGGAGAGGGAGGAAGAGGGGAGGGGAGAAGAGGAAGAGGGAGGAGAGGGAGGAGAGAGGAGGAGAGAGGGAGGAAGAGGAGAGAGGGAGGAAGAGGAGAGAGGGAGGGGGAGGGGGGGGGAGGAGAGAGGGAGGGGGAGGGGGAGAGAGGGAGGGGGAGGGGAAGAGAGGGGGGGGAGGGGAAGAGAGGGGGGGAGGAGAGAGGGAGGGGGAGAGAGGGAGGGGGAGGAGAGGGGGAGGGGGAGGAGAGGAGAGGGAGGGGGGAGGAGGGGGGGGGGGCGAGGGGAAGGGGAAGGGGAGGAGAGGGGGGGGGGAGAGGGGGGGGGAGAGGGAGGGGGAGGGAGGGGGAGGGGGGGAGGAGAGGGAGGGGGGAGGGGGGAGGGAGGGGGGCAGAGAGAGGGGGAGGGGGGGAGGGGGAGAGGGGAGGGGGGAGAGGGGGGGGGAGAGGGAGGGGGGGGAGAGAGAGGGGAGGGGGAGGAGAGGGGAGGGAAGAGGGGAGAGGGAGGGGAGGGGAGAGGGGAGGGGAGGGGGAGGAGAGAGGGAGGGGAGGGGGGAGGAGAGAGGGAGGGGGGAGGGGGAGGAGTGATGGAGGGGGGGGAGAGAGGGAGGGGGAAGGGGGAGAGGGAGGGGAGGGGGAGGAGAGAGGGAGGGGGAGGGTGAGTGGATGGGGAGAGGGGGAGGAGTGATGGAGGGGGAGGAGGAGAGGGCGAAGAGAGAGGAGGAGGAGGAGATGGGAGACTCCAAAAATTTCCTGTTTTTTAAAAAAATGCACTGAGCTCCTAATGTCCTGTTGGAGACAGCACAGTTTCATTTTCTGGACTGAAATCACAAGGAATGGTGTTCAGCCCTGCCCAGCTGCTTGTGCTAAACTACTGTTCACATTCTCTGTTAATCACTAAACTAGGACCTCTCCTCTTGTTAGTTGTTTGTAATCCTGCCAAAGGCATAGAAATCTTTGACAGTCGAGACCTCGTTCATACACACTCAGATATAACAACATTGTCTCTGGCTCATCACAGCCTGAAAAGTGTTGTCAGGACATAGAAGTGACCCCTGATGCTGTTTAAAGAAAAAAGTCCCGAAGGAGTAGGGATTACTTTTTTTTTTTTGCTCTCGGAAATAGTCTCTTCCATATTAAAAAATGGTAACTGTTCATAGAGAGGACTAGTTTAAGCAAACGTACCCTTAATCCACCCAGGTCATATGGCTAGAGAGGACTTTCATCAAAGGTTTGTAAAACACTGCTTAGATATTCAAAAATTATCATATACACTGTCAGTAATTGCATTGGTATGACACAAATTGTTTAACACCAAATGTTAAAGTGACTAATGTCCACATCTCTCCCCTTTTCCCCTCACTTCTGTTTGTCTGGAATGAGTTGTGCACATTAGTTGCAGTAATGTGCAATGTTCTATGTACACTACAAATCTCAGTCTATAGTCCATTTCAGAAGCAAGCAAGAAAGGGTGGCTATGTCCCATATGGTGGGACCAGGGAGGAAGGATGTAGCCACCATCTAATAGCAAATGGCATCACGGAAGCAAGACAGAATTTGGAGATTTGGAGGAGGCCGAGAACAATAGAAGGGACTTTGAGTTAAAGTGGAGTTCCACCTAAAAAAAAATAAAATAAAAGTCAGCAGTTACAAAAACTGTAGCTGCTGACTTTTAAAATGCAGCCACTTACCTGTCCCACGATCCAGCAGTGTCTTCACCACAGCTGGTTTCACCGGCCGTCTTCTCTCCCTTGCACCGGAATCATCAGTGGGGGCACCCGACTGACAGCTTGTGGCTTCACAACCGGGCACCCACTGTGCATGCATGAGAAGCGCTGCGCTTTGTGAATGGCCCCGTGGTCTTCTGGGACCTGTCACTATGGGGAGGGATGACAACTTTTGCTTCCCATTGCCTAGGCGATTGCAGCAGAAGTGGGAGCAGGTACCTGTCAAATGTGGGTGCCCGCTCCCCCCCCCCTACTCCCCCCAAAGGTACCAATCCTTAATGGGGAGCGGGGGACAAAGGCTTAAAGCGGAGCTTCCCCTTTTGGGTGGAGCTCCACTTTAAGAATACATGATGGAATAGAAAACAAGAGTTCAATTTTAAAGCAGAACTAAGCCATCAATTTAACGGTTCCGCAAAACAGTTACATTCAAGGCACTCTGAAAAAACTGTCAAGCAATCAAATGCTGGTGTCATAACTGATCACATGTGAAACACAATAGCAGCTGCACATCCAACAGAGGCTAAGATGGCAGCTTCCTTGGCTGTAAAGCATAGGGTGGGCTTACTTCTACTATTTTCCAAAATACAATTTTTACACAGAAATACAAAGAGCATATGTGATGTCGGGTATCAAGTGATTATAAACAATTTATATTAGAAAACAAAAATTAAATGTTAAACAATGTCCCTCCATCAGCTTTCACAACATTATTGGATAGAGTTAAGAAGCTGCAAATCTCTTGCACAGATACTGGGCTCAGATTGGAGATGAGAAAATACAAGGCTATTACAGTGGGGATCGAAAGTTTGGGCACCCAGCTAAAAATTTGTATTAATGTGCATAAAGAAGCCAAGGAAAAATGGAAAAAATCTCCAAAAAGCATCAAATTACAGATTAGACATTCTTATAATATGTCAACAAAAGTTAGATTTTATTTCCATCATTTACACTTTCAAAATAACAGAAAACAAAAAAATGGCGTCTGCAAAAGTTTGGGCACCCTGCAGAGTTAATATCTTGTACTGCCCCCTTTGGCAAGTATCACAGCTTGTAAACGCTTTTTGTAGCCAGCCAATAGTCTTTCAATTCTTGTTTGAGGTATCTTTGCTCATTCTTCCTTACAAAAGTCTTCCAGTTCTTTGAGATTTCTGGGCTGTCTGTCACGCACTGCTCTTTTAAGGTCTATCCATAGATTTTCAATTATGTTGAGGTCAGGAGATTGTGAAGGCCATGGCAAAACCTTCAGTTTACGCCTCTTGATGTAATCCCCCGTGGATTTCGAGGTGTGTTTAGGATCATTATCCATTTGTAGAAGCCATCCTCTCTAACTTCAGCTTTTTCACAGATGGCATCAAGTTACCATCCAAAATTTACTGAAATTTTATTGAATCCATTTTTCTTTCTACTCGTGAGATGTTCCCTGTGCCACTGGCTGCAACACAACCCCAAAGCATGATTGATCCAACCCCATGCTTAACAGTTGGACAGAGGTTCTTTTCATTAAATTCTGTGCCCCTTCTTCTCCAAACGTACCTTTGCTCATTCCGGCCAAAAAGTTCAATTTTAACCTCATCCGTCCACAGAACTTGTTTCCAAAATGCATCAGGCTTGTCTATATGTTCATTTGCAAAGTTCAAACGATGATTTTTGTGGTGAGGACGTAGAAGAGGTTTTCTTTTGATGACTCTTCCATGAAGACCATATTTGTACAAGTATCTCTTTATAGTGAAATAGTGTACCACAACTCCAGTGTCTGCCAGATCTTTCTGGAGGGATCGTGCAGTCAAACGTGGGTTTTGAACTGTTTTTCTCACAATCCTGCGAGCTGTTCTGTCTGATATTTTTCTTGGTCTTCCAGATCTTGCTTTAACTTCCACTGTTCCTGATGACTGCCATTTCTTAATTACATTCCGAACAGAGGATATTGACATCTGAAAACGCTTTGCTATCTTCTTATAGCCTTCTCCAGCTTTGTGAGCGTCAACTATTTTCAGTTTCAGTTTTCTAGACAACTGCTTAGAA